GCTGGGTGGGCGCGGCGGACGGTCGAGTCCCCGCGACGAGGCTCCAGGGCGGACTTGGCTGCCCTCTGTACACGGCTCAGCAATCAAAATAAATGTAGAGCTTCCAGTGACACTTCCGCCACTCATACGCTACTTCACGTTGCCAAGCCCTCTCCCTCTTTCTGCAGAGGATGGACACCCGTCCCCACTATTTCAATATTTTTGACTGTTCAAACTGCAGTTGACCATTCACATTTATTTTTGGTTCAAAAACATTTTTTACCTCCACGTTCCGTTTATGTGATAAATTTTGGCAATGTATTTGTCACAAAACAATTAAGCCCAAACAAGCTACCTTATAGTGTAGCTAGCTGGATTGCCCCACATTCTGATAACTAGAATTGTAGGCAGAGTTGTGAAAAGAAATTCCATTTAGAAAATTCGCAAACTTACTAGGAGACAGTCCTGCATTGTATATATATTAGAGGGAAAAGTTTATTACTGGGCTGCTGCTTAAGTAAGTTAAATTGATTGTGAGTAGTCCAAGACAAGAAGTTCTTTAACAAATTGAAATTGCAAAATTAACCTATTATAATTCAACTTTGAGTGTATATTTTAGCTAGAAAGTTCTTAGCAATGCCAAATCCCATATAAAGATTGTGCTCGCAGTGTGTATTTCTAGTATGCTTAACCACTGTTGGATTAAAAATGTATTCATTCAATTAGCGTTTTTTACTTCCCAAGTGACACAAAGTAGACTTAATAATTATGAAGCAAATTTAATATGTATCCTCTGACAGATTATTAGATGCATTTAAATGCGCTTTTTTAAAATTCAAATAGACCAGTTGGGAAGTTATATTACATACTTTTTGGGACTGAAATCCACTAGATTTCATAAAAAGATGATTATATGACGTTGAAAATAAAAATTACATTATTTCATTGCAGGGTTGGAAGGATAGTATGTTAGACATTTCAAATTCAGGCAGTTGTTGGATGATCTTTGCTCTTACGACCAAATTCAGTTTTTCATAGGCATATTTCCCCCATTACGTGACATTATTTTTGGTTACACGCTCACCAGAATTGACTATTCCATTTTTTATGATTCCCATTCTGGAACTTCGAGCTTTTCTAAGCTCAAAAGAGCTAGAGGTATGATTTCCTCAGGGGAATTTCAGGGGTCAACCCTAGCAGGAAAAATCTAGACGTCTTAATGGAAGCCCCAGGGAACAAAACAATTCGAGTTTGCACAGATGTCCAGCCGTCTTAGTGGGAGTACGCTATCATTTAGCATTTTTATTCCTTAAAAGGGGAAAACAGTTTGGTTCAATCCTAGAAATTTTCTGCATCAAAATTTTTGGATTACTTTATTCCTCCCAAGTTCGGGTGGCACCTAAAAGAAGTCACTGCCTTTTTAGGGTGTACATGTGGAACTTTTGAAACCCAAACTCCTGCCGTTCTTTAGGTCTAACCCCGAAAAAACCTTCTTCATTACCCTGGTCTATCCCCTTCTGATTTCTTGTCCATAGATTTCCACTCCTTACTTCCTCTCCTGCTTTCTAGCAGCCGGGGTCAAACTCTGGTTAATGGTAATTACTCCCTCTTCCCCTTTCTCTTCTTCGCGTCTCAGGAGCCGGATCGGCGGCCCAGCCCGGATCCCCCTATCGGCCCCCCAGCTCCCCTCTCCTCGCGGCCCCGAGCTGTCATGCGGGCAGGCAGGGGTTAACTGCGCTCGCAGCTGCGGCTCTGGGAACCACCAGCGGGCTTTGGAGCGGCCTCTGGAATAACCTTGGCTTTCCTCGCTCTTTTAATAGAACATCCGCCACCAAAAAGTGGTTTCAGTTCAGGGTGAAGAGTACGGCCCCTTCCACCCTGCTAACCAACACCCCGCCCCCCCTCCCGGGTTTTTTCTGTTTTTCAAACTTAATGAGTTTCAAGTTTCACAATGACTTTCCCCTTCCCTCTCCGCGTTGCTGAGGAAACCCCCTTGGGGTCCCCCCCGGCCGGCCCTCCCTCTTCCCTCCCCCTCCCCCTCCCCCATCCACCCGGGCGGGGGGCGGGGCTGGGAGACCCCATGACGTCAGCGGGCCGGCCCACATCCTGCTTTAGAAAGTAAAGAGACGGTAACGAGAAGCTGCGGCCCCGCCCCTCTGCCCGGACCAACCGCCCCCAACTGCGCGACCCGGCCAGGCCCGCCCGGGGCCGCGCGACCGGCTGGGCCAGCCCTTCT